GAGAGAGAAAGAAAGAAATTTTGATCTCTGCTGTTTTAACAGAACCCTTTGCAGAGGAGTTAGACCAGTGTTTCTCAACCTTAGCAACTTTAAGCTATGTGGACTTCAACTCCCAGAATTCCCCAGCCTGGCTGGGGAATCCTGGGAGTTGAAGTCCACACATCTTCAAGTTGCCAAGGTTGAGAAACACTGAGTTAGACCCACTCTATCTGAAACTAGCAAGCAGGATGCATGACTGCCCCAGAGTGGAATATTGCAAATCAAGGGGTGGGGGTGTTAAATTTCAGGGTTTTTTTCAGCCGCAGCTCAAACAATAATGATAGAACTATGAGGAATTATGGTTAATTTTTCCAGCGGTGTGACACCATTCACAGAACCCTTGGAAGGGTATCCCATCACTTCCCTTCCCAGAAAATACCAATCGTCTCTACCTGTTATGGTTCTCACAACTGAGTCTTTTTCTGAAGCATGCAATTGGCATTCTTCCTCTCATGAGCACGTGTGCCAGTCTTGCCCTTCACAAGAATCCTGTGAGGTAGGATAGTTTGTGATCTAGGTCTTGTAACCTTGGCCTTCTGGAGGGCCTAGTCTAGCCCTTAGTGCAGTGTTCCTCAATCTTAGCAACTTGAAGATGTCTGGACTTCAGCTCCCAGAATTCCCCATGCTGGCTAGGGAATTCTGGGAGTTGAAGTCCAGACATCTTCAAGCTGCTAAGACTGAGAAACATTGCCTTAGTGTGTTCTGGACTGACAAAATGTCATTGCACCATATCCCCTTGTCTTCCCCGGTTTTGTGATCCCTGGAAGATGCATTTTGAATTTCTTTACCAGATGCATATTTCAGCTGCGAGGGAGGGATGCATAATCAGATTACCCTTAATCCTCACGCATGTGGTCAGGCAACAGAGAATCGGTTTGGTTTCTGTTTCTGTCATTTTCAGTTTAGATGTTTTTTTGTTTGTTTTCTTTATGGGCGTATGGCAACGCGCGTCAGAGTGTCTTGCCCCAAGTGGGAGGTCTTCCTGCAGGGGTACAAACGGCCCCATAATCCACTGCTGGCCAAAATGCAGCTAAGGAGCTGTGGCGTCAAAGCCGCTCTAGATTTCCTTCCCTTCAAGATCAGCCCAATACTCTTAGAAATATCTTCCTCCCATTTATCTGATCGGCCTTGGCTGAAGTCCAAAAGCACAGCCTGGGTTGATAAGTGCTTGGGAATGGAGGCCACCAGGAAATCTGAAACTAGGTTTCCTGCTGAGGAGTAAATAAATATCACGGCCAAGAAAAGTGCCAGGATATGTTCTTGTAGTCAGGAATTAATTTTGGCTTACGTGTTGTGTGAAGTCAGCCATTAAATAAACCATGGTTTAGAGCAGTGTTTTTCAACCTCAGCAACTTTGAGAAGTGTGGACTTCAACTCCCAGAATTCCCCAG